GGCTCAGTGTTTCTTTAGAAGAATATTTTTCCTATTTTTCACAATGTAAAACTTGGACTCTATATTGTGGCCCCACCCTACCCCTGGGGGCCATGATTTAACAGTTTAGAATTTACTCTACCCAAGGATGCTTCCACATAGTTTCAGTTTTTCTGGCTCAGTGGTTCTGGAGATTTTTCCTATTTATTACAATGTATAACTCGGATTCTCTATTTTGCCCAACCCTACCCCTTGGGGCATTGATTTTAAAAGTTTAGAATCTACACTACATCAGGATGCTTCCACAAGTTTCAGTTTTTCTGGCCCAGTGGATCTTGAGAAGAAAAATTTTAAAGATTTCCCCTTATATTTTTCAGTGTTAATCTTGGATTCTCTATTGTGGCCCTACCCTACCTACGGGAGCCATGATTTTAAAAATTTAGGATTTAAATTACCCCGAATGCTTTCCAATAAGTTTCAGCTGAGCCCAGTGGTTCTTGAGAGGAAGATTTTAAAAGATTTTTCTAAATATTTCAATGTAAATGATTTTTCCTATATATTTTAATGTTTAACTTGGATTCCCTTTTGTGGCCCTGCCCTACCCCCAGAGGCCATGAATTTAACAATTTAGAATCTACACTACCCCAGACTGCTTTCATGCAAGTTTCAGTTTTTCTGACCCAGTGGTTCTTTAGAAGATTTTTTTATGACCCCATCCTAATTTTGTCTTTTCTTGATTATCTCCCCTTGGAAAGGGACTTGGTCCTTCATTTTAATAATTCACACTCCCCTTAACCCAAAGATGCTTTGTATAAAGTTTGGTTAAAATTGGCCCCATTTCAGCATTTTTGGTCTAGTGGTTCTCAAGAAGATTTCTTAAGTTTAACTTCAATGTTAAATCCCTAATAAAACCCAACCTACCCCTGGGAGTCATGATTTGAACAATTTAGAATTCACACTACTCCAAGATACTTCCACATGAGTTTCAGCTTTTCTGGCCCAGTGGTTCCTGAGAAGAAGTTTTTTTTATGCCTTCCTATATATTTTTTAATACAAATTTGATTCCCTATTGTGGTCCCGCCCTACCCCAGGGGTCATGATTTGAACAATTTAGAAACTACACTACCCCAAGATGCTTCCACATAAGTTTCAGCTTTTATGGCCCAATGGTTCTTGACAAGAACATTATTAATTTTTTTTCCTATATATTTCTATGGAATCCCTATTGTTGCCCTGCCCTACCCCCAGGGGTTATGACTTGAACAATTAGCAAAAATTAGTTCAGTATTGAAAGTTTAAATGTGAGGAGGAGGAGTGAATTTTAAACTACCTGATGATGCTTCCATATCAATATAACAAATGGCTTTGCTGATATTGAGCAGATTTTTTTTTCTATTTATTCAATTGCAAAATTTTAACCATCACTGTGACCAAGTCCTACCCCTCATTGGGACCTCATTTGGACCATTTTGATTTTACACTACCTGACGATGCCTCCATATCAATATATCCAATCATTGCTTTCATGAACTTGAGAAAAAATTTTTTTCCTATATATTCCTATGTAAAACTTTTAACCAAATCTGTGGTCACACCCTACCTCCTGGGGTCATGACTTGAACACTACCTGATGATGTTTCAATTGAGATATGACCAATCATGGATTTGCTGTTCTTAGAAAGAGGAGTTTTAAAGAATTTTCCTACATATTCCTATGTTTAACTTTGATCACCTATTGTGGTCCCCATCCTTCCCCCAAGGGGTTATGATTTGAACAAATATGAATCTACACCAACCAAGGATGTTTCCGTATAAATATCACCAACCATTCCTTTGCTGTTCTTCAGAAGATTTTTAACAATATTTTTCTTATTATGTCTATGTAAACTTTGATCTTCCATTGTTGCCCCACCCAAACCCCGGGGTCATGAATTGAACAAATCTGAATCTACGCCAACTAGAATGCTTCCATATAAATATGACCTATCATGGTTTTGCTGTTCTTAAGAAGAAGAGTTTCAAAGAATTTCACTATGTATTCCTATGTAAAACATTAATGGTCCATTGTGGTCCCACCCTTCCTCAGGGGGTTTGTGATTTAAACAAACTTGAATCTGCAACAACTGAGAATGGTTTCATATAAATATGACTAATAATGGCTTTGCTGTTCTTGAGAAAAAGATTTTTAACAATATTTTCCATTAAATTCTATGCATAACTTTGATCTCCCATTGTGGCCCCACCCAACCCCCGAGTTCATGATTTGAAAAAAATTGAATATACTCCACTGAAGATCCTTCCATATAAATATGACTAATCATGGCTTTGCTGGTCTTGAAAAGCAGATTTTTAATGATATTTGTCTATGATTTCTATGTAAATCTATGATCCCCCATTGTCGCCCTCAAGCCCCAGGGATCATCAATTGAACAAACTTGAATCTACACTACCTAAAGATGCTTCCATGAAAGTTTCATCTTCCCTGGCCCAGTGGTTCTTGAGAAGATTTTTAAAAGATACCATATTTATTCACTAATTCCTAATTATCTCCCCTTGAAAGATGGCGTAGCCCTTCATTTGAACAAACTTGAATCCCCTTTACCCAAGAATACTTTGTGGCATGTGTGGTTGAAACTGAATCTACACTACCTGAAGATGCTATCATATAAATATTGCCAATCATGACTTTCTTGTTCTTTAGAAGATTTTAAAAGATTTTTCTTTATATTCCTGTGTAAAACTTTGATCATCCATTGTGGCCCCACCCCACCCCCGGGATTGTGATTTGACCAAACTTAAATCTGCACTACCTGAGGGTGCTTCCATGTAAGTTTCATCTTTCCTGGTCCAGTGGTTCTTGAGAAGATTTTTAAAACATTTTTTTCACTAATTCCTAATTATCTCCCCTTCATTTGATCAAACTTGAATCCCCTTCAGCTTTGGATGGTTTGTGGCAAGTTTTGTTGAAATTGGCCCAGTTGTTCTGGAGAAGAAGTTGAAATTGTGAAAAGTTTACAGACTGACAGATGGACACTGGACAAAATGTGATCAGGAAAGCTCACCTGAGTTGAAGATAATAAATTTTTAAACTAATCATGACTTTTAAAAATTTTTCAAGATTTTTTCCTTTACATTCTTCTGCTTTTCAATTGTAAAACTTTGCTCATTAAGGCCCTATTCTACTCAAACTCATAATATTATAAGAAATCAATAAAAATTGTTTTTAATACAATTTACATAAAAGCACATTTAATTGAATTCGGAGAGAATTATGAAATGCATTTATTGTAAACATTGTACATGTATATAAAAATAGATTTTGTGTAAATACATCAAAATTCAAATCAAATGAAACTAAAAGATGAAATAATGTAAATGTTAATATGCATTACAGCAATCAAAAGTAACGTCTAGTGACAATGAGGCTTAAAATAAAATATTGTTTGTTTGCAGTTGCCTACCGACCCAATGAAAATACACCCGACCCAAATTTTTTTTTTAGACATTTTGTAATATTATTTTTTTTCCCCAATTTTTTCAGGATATTGAAACTGTTTCATTTTCATTTTTTGTCTTTATCAATCAGTAGTTTATACCAAGAGTGGAGCTTATTTATGTATAGCAGGCCTTTGAAAAAATCTATTTTATGTTATCTAACAAAAATCTGAAAACTTTTTTTAAAAACAAGAGGCCCAAGGGCCACATTGCTCACCTGAGCACATCTACTAGGAAAAAGCACATATCAGATCAAAACTGAAAGTTTACCGGGGGGGGGTTGAATTTTAACCCTCCTGGGTGTGATTTGAACAATGTACAATCTACACTATTTGAGGATGATTCCATATGAATAGAAAAATATCACTAATTATGGCTTTGAAGTACATGAAAAGAAGTTTTTAAAAGGTTTCCCTATATATCCTTATGTACCACTTTGGTCAGCCATTTTGGGCCCAAAACTAGCCCCAGAGGTCATGAGTTGAACAAGCTTGAATCTTCACTAACTGAGGATGATTCCACATAAGTTTCGTCTTTCCTGGCCCAAAGGTTCTTGAGAAGAAGATTTTTAAAGTTTTTCCTATATATTCCTATGTAAAACTTTGGTCAGCCATTTTGGCCCCACCCTAGCCCCAGGGGTCATGATTTGAACAAAATTGAATCTACACTACTTGAGGATAATTTCATCTAAGTTTCATATTTCCTTTCTCAATGATTCTTAAGAAGAATATTTTTAAAAGATTTTTCCTATATATTCCTATGTAAAACTTTGGTTGGCCATTTTGGCCCCGCCCTAGCCCCGGGGGTCATGATTTGAACAAACTTGAATCCACACTACCTGAGGATGATTCCACATGAGTTTCATCTTTCCTGACCCAGTGGTTCTTAAGAAGAAGATTTTTAAAGATTTTTCCTATATATTCCTATGTAAAACTTTGGTCGGCCATTTTGGCCCCGCCCTAGCCCCGGGGGTCATGATTTGAACAAACTTGAATCCACACTACCTGAGGATGATTCTACATGAGTTTCATCTTTCCTGGCCCAGTGGTTCTTAAGAAGAAGATTTTTAAAGATTTTTCCTATATATTCCTATGTAAAACTTTGGTCGGCCATTTTGGCCCTGCCCTAGCCCCGGGGGTCATGATTTGAACAAACTTGAATCTACACTACCTGAGGATGATTCCACATGAGTTTCATCTTTCCTGGCCCAGTGGTTCTTGAGAAGAAGATTTTTTAAAAATGCTATTAATTTTTCACTAAATCATAATTATCTCCCCTTGGAAGAGGGTGTGGCCCTTCATTTGTACAATCTTGAATCCCCTTCACCCAAGGATACTTTGTGCCAAGTTTGGTTGAAATTGGCCCAGTGGTTCTTGAGAAGAAGATGAAAATGTGAAAAGTTTACGACAACGACAACGCCAACGCCAACAACGACAACGACAGACGACGGACAAATTTTGATCAGAAAAGCTCACTTGAGCCTTTGGCTCAGGTGAGCTAAAAAGGAAAAAAAAAGAATGCCTACCTACCTGCCTAGTCTAAAAATTATAGGTCGGCAACTGCAAATAAAGAATTTTTTGAGCTTGGTCTGAAGTGTACAATGACAGCTTTTGTCCGTATTTTGAGTATTTAACTGTTTGCTCTATCACATTTGGTATACAGTGTATCAACTTTTTCCTAGTCACTTGACTGAGCACCACATTGTTGCTGGAGTAGCTGTGTATTACATGTTCACCACTCTCCGTTTATAACTCTGTTTTATGTATATCATTCTCTGACCGCTTCCTTTTCTCTGTCCCTGACTTTTTATGTGACACATTGTCCTCATGTTTGTCCTTCTCTGTTGATTTTTTAGTGTCTTTACTCTGTGTGAAAAATACGATTACTCTTAAAGTTTTTTGATACACTCTAAAAAATTAACAAGAGGCCCACGGGCCTTTTAGGTCACCTGAGTATCCCGTAATTGAATTTGATTCATATTTTAAACCTGAAGACATGAAATTAACAATTTTGAAAGAGGCACCATTGCTTATCATAATTATATACTTAGCATGCTTACTTTGGTTAATTAATACCCAGAGGTAGATCAGAGTAACAAAGAGAACATTCATTTCTACTTTGTAACCACTTGTGCAACCCTCCCCACCGGAACCACTGACCCTGGGGTAACATATTTCAAAATTTTGGAAATTTTATCGTGAATTTTATTTCATCACCAATTGTTCGTCAATATCAAAATGCAGATTTCAAAGCATTAATTTATATTTAGAATATGTACCCTCCCCCCTCCAAAAACCTCTGACCCAGGGGCCGGGAAATTAACCATTTTGGAAGAGGCAGCTTTCTTCATCATAAATATGTACTTAGATCATTGGCATAACATCCAGGAGCAAAGAAAAAGATTTTCAAAGAACTCATGCATTTTCATCATACATCCATTTTAGAGCCCTTCCCTAACACAAGAAGCCCTGACCCAGGGGCCATGCAATTCAGAAATCTCAAAGAGGCATCCTTCCTCCTTAAAACTATGTAAAAAGTTCATTGGTTTAATACCCAAGGGCAGAAAAGAAGATTTTCAAAGAAATAATTCATTTTCCCTGTATAATCTTTATAGCCCGCTCTAGCACTAACACCCCTGACCCTGGGGCCATGAAATTAACAATTTTGGAAGAGGAGCCTTAATTAACTTATCTATGCACTTGGTTAGTTTATGTAATGCCCATGAGCAGAAAAAAAGAATTTCAAAGAAGTTATGCATTTATAATCTATATAGAACTAGAACCCCTGACCCTGGGGTCATGAAATTCACAATTTTGGAAGAGGCAGCCTTATTTAACTTATCTATGCACTTGGTAAGTTTATTTAATGCCCATGAGCAGAGAAGAAGAATTTAAAAGAAGTTATGCAATTTCACTATATAATAATATAGCCCCACCCTAGAACTAGAACCCCTGACACTGGGACCATGAAATTCTTAATTTTGGAATACCCATAAGCAGAGAAGAAGAATTTTAAAGAATTTATGCAATTTCACTATATAATCTACATAGCCCCGCCCTAGCATTAGAACCCCCTGAATCTGGGGCCATGAATTTCACAATTTTCGTAGAGGGATCAATGCTGATTACAATCATACCAACAGTTTGACTGCTTGATGTCCAGGAGTAAAGAAAGAAGAAGATTTTAAAAGTCATCATTGCCGGTGAACTAATTTTATGCTCGGAGGTTTTGGCCTGCCACACCTGCTCCAGGCCCTAGGACCGCCCCATTTAGTCGGACAAGCAAGGGGGACTGAGGACATATAAAGAAGAAATTCACAATTTTTTTTGGCCTCATCTCCAACCCATAGATGCTCACAATTTTTTTGCCAAAATTATTTGCCAAAATTGGTTCAGCGGTTTCAGAGAAGAAGCTGAAAATGTTCAAATGTTAACGTACGAATAACGACGACGGACGAAAATGGATAGCAATAGGTCACCTGATTTTACTTAGGTGACCTAAAAATGTTAATATTTCTTAGACTTTAACAAAAGGAACACAGGTCATATAGGTCATCTGAATGTCAAATATCAACTTCCCCACAAAGAATTGGGTTAATTTTTTTCAACCAGGGGCCATGATTGCCCATGAATTCACAATATTTAAACACCCTTTGCTCATTATAACTATACACCAAGAAGCAGAGCTGAGGATTATCAAAGAATTAATGCATTCTCACTTTATAATGAGTAGAGCTCTACCCCACAGGAAGCCATGACCCTGGGGTCACATAATTTACAATTATGGAAGAGGCACCCTTACTCATCATAACCATGATAACCATGCACTGAGTTCCTTGGCTTATTACCCACAAGATTTTCAAAGGATTTATGCATTTTCAGAATCTAATTAATATAGCCCTGTTCTAACACCAGAACCTCTAACCCAGGGGCAATGAAATTCACAATTTTAAAAGAGGCACCCTTGCTCATCATAACTACCCATTTAGTTTGTTTGCTTATTCATACCTGGGAACGGGAGGGAATATTTTTAAAGAAATTATGCATTTTCACTATATAGTGTATATTCATCAGAGCTCACCTTATCACCAATACCCCTTAACCCTGTAGTCATGAATTTCAAAATTTTAGTAGATGACTTATTGTTTATTACAATCATGCCAGCAGTTTGAATGTTTTGATATCTGGGAGTAAAGAACAAGGTTTTAAATGATTCCACTGATTTACGGTAGAATGATGCTTTTAGTCTCATCTCTCAGGCCCCGGGGTGGGGGTGGGGGAAGAGGGAGGGAGGACCATGAAATTCAAAATTTTTTGTTTCCCTTAATTCATTGATGCTGTGATTGAAATTGGTTGAGTGGTTCCTGCGAAAAAGCTGAAAATATTTAGAGTTAACGCATGACGATGACACACAACAATGGACCCAAACAGAAAACAATAGATCACCTGAGTGTCTCAGGTGACCTAAAAATAATGTCTTTAGAAATATTCATTATCATTGCATTAAAAAGAGAACAGAGTTTAACAGAGGTCAAATAATCTGTACAATGTCTGATACCTTAGCCGCGGCCCCTGGGTAATTTTTTCCTTCAATGGTGACTTCCTCACATCGGTCCTGAGTAACGAGGAAGTCCTTAATCTCCCACGCCTTGGCACCATCCTTTATCATAAATATCACCCTGTTACTGCTGACAACATATCTAAACAAAGAAGACATCAAATAATATCACCCTGTTACTGCTGACAACATATCTTAACAAAGAAGACATCAAATAATATCACCCTGTTACAAAGTAGACATAAAATATCATTAAAATCACCCTGTTACTGCTGGCAAAATATCTAAACAAAGTAGAAATCAAATGATATCACCCTGTTACTGCTGACAACATATCTAAATAAAGAAGACATTAAATATCATAAATATCATAAATATCACCCTGTTACTGCTGACAACATATCTAATCAAAGTAGACACAAAATAATATCACCCTGTTACTGCTGACAACATATCTAATCAAAGTAGACACAAAATAATATCAGTTTTGGTAATATAATATCACCCAGACTTTAAGGTCATTAGGGTAACATGAAATTCAAGGAAAACCACAGTATTGTGACAGAAAGTTTCTAAATCAGATTCAGCAAAAAAAAACCCTGTTACTCATGTTGAAAGCTTTCACACTCACCGGTTCACACCTTATTGTTTGCACATACTAAAGTTTATAATATGCAAGTTTATCGTCTGTCGTTTGTTGTTTTCAAGTAAGCTATATTATATTGATGAATATTGTTCTTTCAAACGCGCATAAATCTGCTATACAAATTTGCACAACCCGTTGCGTGTGTTTGCAAATGCATTTTTACGGCCAACAAGTCCAATATTCACCAATATAAGTACAAAATAATATAACTCTGACAACATAAAGTAGACACAAAATAATATCATTTTTCCCACTAAAGAGACACAAAATAATAATTTTAAATTTTTTTTAATATTTTGAAATAAGCAACTGTAAAAATGATATAGAGTGGTGCTGAATTTGAAAGTTTATGTTTATTTCAAGTTGTTTTAATTCCATGGCATTAAATTTTCACGACATCTCAAAAAGTACCAATTGCGATGGTTTTAATTTCACACTGCAAGAAATTAATTCAAATTTTGTATAAGCATTTAAATGTTTTTAAAAAAATCATAATAGCATTCATAATAGGTTTAATTTTGCAGAAAAATTGCTATACAAATGCACAAGCTTGCAAATGCATTTTTACGGCCAAACATAACGAAATTAAAACCATCGTGATTATTTGCCTGTGTAATATACAGTGTATCCATGGCATATATCAGTCAAAAAGTACCAATTGTGATGGTTTTAATTTCACACTGCAAGAAATTAATTCAAATTTTGTATATTTAAATGTTTTTAAAAAATCATAATACATCTAACCGCAAATATAGTGAAATTACACTTTGCTTACTGAGGTTTTAAAGACACTTACAGGAACTATTTAAAATTATAAATGAATATTTACATTTGTAAATGTTTCCCTTTAAAGACTACTGAAAGCAATGCCTATCTAGAACTGTTTAAATAACAGGTTCCTTGAACGTCATAAACATTCGACGCAATTTCTCAGTGACATCATAAAGGGCTGACATACATTCAACAGATTACATATATGCCATTGAGTTTGAAAATAAAAAATTTCATGCATTAAAAGTCATAGTCTGACAGATAAATATAAAATATGAATAAGTCACAGTTTAAAACATCTATCGGGATATAAATACAGGTTAGTACAATATCAAATTCACAATGAAGCCTTTTGGGTTTATGGAATTTGATTTCTAGACCAATACGTATTAATAGCCAGATAGAGATTTAAAAATGATACCTTATTTCTTAAATAATTTCAATTTTGTATGAATATAGACACATCATACCATTCTGCCTCTATGAAAAATGTGGACATAACGAACAGAATTCGAGCTCAAAAGTCCATTATAATATACAAAATAGGAGCAGAGCAAACATGGACCTTTGAAACATTAGATGTTAGATCAGATGCCATAGAGGAATAAGCATCCCCTACTATCCTGATGCACCAACCATAAGCCACAGCTGTATCCATCATAGCTATTGCAATTCAGCAGTTAACTAGATATTATCTGTTTACCATGAAGCATTTGATATTGAACACTAGCATTTAAAATGTTTCAGGTATACCTGTACTTGTATACAAATTTGTA